TTGACGCCCAAGATTCCCACTATGTTAGTACGTACACCCTCCCCTAAAGCGTGGAGAGCCTGGCCTACTCAGATGACCCCTTTTAAAATAGGGTCTAGAGGTCAGAGTCAGAGAAAGGTGAAGCTTCAGTAAATCATATCTGTTTTGGGTATAAAATTTTTATTTTCAAATGTTATAGAAATAAAATCATGCAGAATGCCAATTTCTAATCCTCCTCCCCCCTCAGCAAAACTTTCTTGCAATCTATCCAACTTGTATCAATAGCTTGTTTCTTTTTATTGCTGAGTATTATTCCATGATATGCAGGTAGCACAATTTATTTATCCATTCACCTGCCAAATAATACCTGGCTTGTTTCCAGTTTAGGGCTATTATGAATGAAGCTGCTAAATACTTCCATATAGGTGCTATAAATGTTGGTGCACAGGTGTCTGTGTGCCAGTGTGGTTCAGTGGTTGAGTATCGACCTATGAACCAGGAGGTCACGGTTCGATTCCCGGTCAGGGCACATGCCTGGGTTGTGGGCTCGATCCCCAGTGGGGGGAGTGCAGGAGGCAGCCTATCAATCTCTCTCATCACTGATGTTTCTATCTCTCTCTCTCCCTTTCCCTTCCTCTCTGAAATCAATAAAAACGTATTTTTTTAAAAAAAATTTTCATTTCTCTTGGATAAATGCCCAGGAATGCAACTGCTGGGTTGTGTAATAAGAGCAAGTTTAGTTTTATAAGAAAATGCCAAACTATTTTCTAGAGTGGCTGTACCATCTTACTTTCCCACCAGCAATGTAAACACGATGCAATTTCTTGGCAACCTCTCTAGCATTTGGTATTATTACTTTCAATTTTAGCCATTTTGATAGGTGCATAGTGATATGTCATTGTGGTTTTGCTTTGCATTTCTTTAATAGCTTTTGATGCTAAATATATTTTCATGTGACTATATGACACTGGAGGCCTGGTGTCCTCTTGCAGTCAAGGAGCCCTTGGGGGATGTCCGACTGCCGGCTTAGGCCTGCTCCAGTTGGGACATCCTTAGTGCTGCCACTGCCACTGTGCTCACCAGCTGTGAGCCCGGCTTCTGGCTGAGTGGCGCTCCCCCTGTGGGAGCACACTGACCACCAGGGGGGCAGCTCCTGCATTGAGCATATGCCCCCTGGTGGTCAGTGTGCATCATAGCGACCTGTCATTCCACAGTTCAGTCAATTTGCATATTAGCCTTTTATTATATAGGACATGTATATCCTTTTTGGTGAAATGCTTCTTTATGTCTTTTATTCATTTTCTAGATGATGTTTGTTTTTTTTAATGAATTTTGAGGATTATTCTTTTTCTTTTTTTTTTTTAAATCCTCACCAAAGACATGCTCACTGATTTTACATGCTCCAACCAGGGATCAAACCCAAAATCTAGGTATATAGCCTGAACAGGAATCAAACCTGCAATCTTCTGATATATGGGATGACACTCCAACCAAGTCACACCAGCCTAGGTGAGAATTATCCTTATATTCCAGACATAAGTGCTTTGTCGGAACTATAGTTTGAAAATATTTTCTCTCAGTATGTAGCTTGTTTATTCATCCCCTTAACAGGTTCTTTCACAGAAGAAAACCTTTTTGTTTTGATGTCCAATTTATCAATTTTTCCTTTTATGGGTCATGTTTTTGTTGTCAAGTCTAAAAACCTTCTGCTATCCTTAAGATGTGAAGATTTTCTCCTAAAAGTTTTATAGCTTTGTTTTACGTTTAAATCTGTTGATTGATATTGAGTTAATCTTTATGTAAGAGAGTTGTGAGGTTTACGTCAAAGTTCGTTTTTTGCCTATGGTTGCCCAACTGTTCCACCATTACTTGTTGAAAAGGCAATCCTTCCTGCACTGAATTGTCTTTGCACTTTTGTCAAAAAACAGTTGGACATATTTATGTGGATCTATTTCAGGCTTTAGAATTCTATTCTGTGTCCATTCTATTGCGTGATCTGTGTTTATCCTCCAGCAGTAACCCAATGTTTTGGTTACTCTAGCTAAATAGTAAGCTTTAACATTGCATATAGTGATTCCTTCCACTTTACTCCTCTTTTTTAAAACTGTTATAGCTATTCTAGAATCTTTGTCTTTTCATATAAATTTTAGAATAAGCTTGTCTATATTTACAAAAAAAATCCTGCTATGGTGATTTTTATTTATTTTTAAAAGTTGCCTAAGAAATGTTACCTCTTCCCACCTTCCTTAATTAAACATTTATTTCTTTTGGTTAATCATCACCCAAGGATAGTTTTTCATTGATGTTTAGGGAGAGAGGGAAAGACAGATGGAAACATTGATGTGAGGAAAAACATTGATTGGTTGCCTCTTGCAGGAGCCCTGACCAGAGCCTGGGCTGTGGAGGAGCCTGCAACCAAGGTACGTGTCTTTGACTGGAATTGAACCTGGGACCCTTTGGTCTGCAGGCTGATGCTCTATCTACTGAGCAAAACTGGCTAGGGCATTGTTGTGATTTTTAAAACTATTTTTGTTGGGGTAAAATATATACTAGTATAAGATAAAAGTTACCATTTAACTGTTTTTAAGTGTATGATTCAGTATACTTAAGGACAGGTGATGCAAAGGTTAGATAAAAGGACAGTGTGAATAATTCTGTGTCAATACATTTGAAAAATATAAGAAATCAAAAATTATCTTAAGTTACTCAAACAGAAAGAGAAAATCCAAAATATCCTATAACTATTAAAGAAGTTGAATCAGTAGTTTAAAAAATCTCCTCATAGCCCTGGCCGGTGCCCTCAGTGGTTAGAGAGTCAGCTCATGCACTGAAGGGTCGCAGGTTTGTTCTAGGTCAAGGGCACATACCTGGGTTTCGGTTTCCTCCTGGCCTCCCGTCGGGGCATGTGCAGGAGGCAATCAGTCGATGTGTCTCTCTCACATTAATGTTTCTCCCTCTCTCCCTCCCTTCCACTCTCTCTGAAAAGCAATGGAAAAAATATCCTCATCTGAGGATTAAAAAAAAAATCTCCACATATAAAACACCAGAATCAAATGATTTTAAAGGACATCTATCAAGTATTCAAGGTTCATGTATTTTTTTATTATGATAGTGTTTTAAATTTTCTTTATTATTGAAAGTATTATAGATGTCCCTTTTTAAAGTTCATGTAATTTAATCTTATATAATCTTTTCCAGAAATGAGAAAGAAAACTCCGTGATTATTAAAGGTTAATTTAACCTTGATATAAAAACAATAACAAGGACAAGAAGGGAAAATTATCAGACTTTCTGACTCATGAAATAGATACTATGTTCTAACCAAAACATTAGCAAACTGAATACAGCAATACGTAAAGAAAATGACACATCATGCCCAAGTCGGGTTTATCCCAGGAATGCAAACGACTTCCTGGGACTTGGGCTTCTGCAACACAATGAATCTGTGGTGCCTGCCATTCAGAGACAAAGGAAGCACAGGGTTTGGGGCTAAGGTCACAAGAATGACTATGTGCTGAGTGCAGAGAGCCTGTGAATGTCCAGGTAGAGATGTCTAAGCAGCAACCAAGAGTACTTACTGGTCTGGAACTCAAGTATAAGCTGGGCTGAAGACAGAGCACTGAGAATCACCAGTAGTACCTACAAATGGGATGGAATTATCCAAAGAAACTGGGATGAAGACAGAAGAGAACCAACCTGAATCCCAGACAACCCAATGTTTAAAGAAGAGGATTGTCTAAAAAGACTGGCCAGAGAATCAGGGAAAGCAAGAACCAGGAAGGCAAGGAAGACAGTAACTCAAGTCACTTTACGAAGGAGAGGGGACTGGAGAATTCAGTCACCATTGTTCACTAAGACAGGGCAGTTTCAGGATGTGCTGAGGGGAGAAGGCAGACTGTTTTTGGCTGATGATGAATGAATAAAAGAAAATAGAAATAGGGAATGTGATCAATGCTTACAAGAAGGCTGGCTGAGGAGGGAAGCAGACTGTGCCAGAGAAAAGGGAGAAGCCAATTAGAGGATGAACTTGAAGACCATTCAGATAGGGTGGTGAGAAAAAATATAACACAGAGCCTATCCTCCACATTTCAGAATGGAAAAGATTGTTCTTTAGTCACAGCCCAGAGGCATGAACATACAACTACCAGAATTAGATTGCAAACCCATCCTAATTGATCTGTGAGAACTTGCTTCAGTTGACCATGCTTCTGAAATTCAGCAAACAGCCACAACCCTAGTCCAGTGACCATGCTCCTATGGCTAAAGGTGAACCCAGTCCCTGAAAGTCCATCCATCTGTAAATTCCACATTTACCCAAAATGAAGGGGGTAAAAGCAAAAAGTACTAAGGCCTTCCTTAAGGACAATTATAAAAAGCACAAACTTGGACCTTGGAAAAGGGGGAGTTCACTGGTCTGGAAAGAGAAAATGAGCAGAAGGATAAGAGCAGTGGCTGCAGCAGGTGACATGAATCCTTTCACATCCAAGTGTAAAAATCTGAGCTGTGGAAAGGCGACCTGAGTTGTACAGGAGCAAGCTACGACTCAAAGCCTCATCTGGTTGACTGTAAGGTCTAGGCTCTTTGATGTGAACTTATAGTGCATTTATATCCATCTTATTCATTCCAGAATTGAAGCTCTTTATGTAGCTCTACAAACTTTTACATGGCAAGTGCTAAATGAAGAAATTATAGTTATAATTATCAACTTTGTTACATGCCACCCTGCTTTCAAAAGTGCTGATAGCTTTCCTTCATGAGTGATTTACACCATCTCCACTACAATCTTCTATGGTATTCATGTGCTCAGCACTCCTTTCCTATAGATTTACAGAGGCAAAGTAATACTGTATACCTTGTTTACTGCAGGTTCCAAATTAGTGAATTTAGTCTCTACTAAAGAGAGTTCACCATGTCTGCCGATGAGACCAAAAAGCACATCTTACCTGAATTTTTTAAAAAATCTTTGAATTCTTTATTAGTTAAGGAATTACAAATGTGTCCTCATTCCCCGCCACTGTTACCTGAATTTTGATGGGCCAGGTGAAATTACTGACATAAACAAAGAAAGTGATATTCTGGTGGTTGCGAAAATCAAACTTCTCATTAGAGAAGCTATCTTTGTACTCCTTAATGTTGGTTTTCGAAACAACAGGCATTTCTTCTCCAGCCTGGGTTCCAGCTATTAGGAAGAAAAGAATAAAACAGAAGAGACTTTTTAGAGGGTATGGGGGGGGGGGGGCAGAATCTACCTTCATTAATAATAAGGATAATAGTTAGCATTTACTAAATACTTACTATGTCCCAGGAACAGCCTTTAAGAGCTCAATCTCATTTATTCTTAACAATAACTCTATTATCCTCATTTACAGATCAGGAAACTAAGGTTCAGAGAAACTAAGTAACTAACTTGGTTCAGGTCACACAGCCAGTAAGAAGTGGAGCTGGGATTTGAAGCTGGGAAGGCTGATATACAAGCCCGTGCCCTTAATTAGAATGGTTTTACTAAGAATCCCTGCAATTCCCTTCCACGCTGCACATGGCCATGAAAATACAGATAGCACTAGAGTCCTATTAACAACAATGACATCCACTCTGCCCATAACACTTCAATTGCTCTGCATTTTCCCTTTATACCTACTTGTCAGTGCTCCATACCGCCCCTCCCAGGGACGCTGATTCACCACTCACTTCCTAACTAACAGCATCCTCAAGTCTCAACAGTGGCAGGGAGGACAAGCTCTAAACGTCACTCAGTCCCTTCTGCCACCAGCTACAACTGTATGTAAGTCCCCCCAATGTGGTATAATGCATCCTATTCCAAAGTCCCTCAACATTCCATATTCCCCCCTTGCCGGGAATTCTAGTGTCTATAAAGATTCATTAAATAGATTTTCCCTATGTCTGAATCAAATCCTGTGATTGGAGCCCAGACTGTCAGGTTCTCATTGAGACAGTCATTGTAAATCATCATATGCTCAGAGATGCTGCCTTTCTCAAGATAAATGCTCCAATAATTCAGACCTTTTCTTAAAAGTCTCTCATCCCTGCAAGTTTCTGAATCTTTTCTGAATTCTAGACAGTCTTTTAAGACATGATAAACATAAAGTGCCGTGCAAAGATAATGATTTTATCTTGCTTCAGTCTAATTGGTTGTGTTTTAACAAAAAATCAAAGACCAAACAATAACAACAACAACAAAAAACTCAAAACAAAAAAACAGTATTGTATAGTAATAGTAATGATGAAACATTTAGTGAGACTTTACCGTGTTTCAAGTACTACTTTGAGTAGTTTGTTTATGATCTCATTTGTTTAATTCTCACAACACTCTGCATGGCTAGGTGTTTTTTATGAGGAAACTGGGTCCGAAAGCTTAAGTAATTTGCCCAACAGTACAGTAACAGGTAGAATTCAAACCCAGGTCTGTCAAGCTATGCTCTTAACCACTACATAAGGTCCGCCCTTTACTGTTTTAGCAGATTTTTTGCCCCAGCACATCTTCTTTAGTGACTCATAGTAAGATAAACAAGATAGTTTTAATCTCCAAAGTACATTTCCCTGTACCTACTAAAATCTCATTCTATTTTAAATGTTTCCATTTCTTGAAACTTTGAGTCATTTGCCTTTTTCACTTCTGAAGCACTGATGAGGATGATGATGGCAGTGCCAGAACAGCAGCTGCAGCAATGCTATTGGTGGTGGTAGTGGGGCAGGGTAGTGAGCATGTACTGAGCCTGACATATGGTAGGCACTGGCATGTAGAACCTAATTTAATCTATACAACACTTCTCTTTACAACAAATAACCCTAAAATCTAGGGAAGGATTTAGACATTTGCTCAAGGCTCCCAGCTAGTAAGCGGCAAAGCAGGGTTTCAAACCCATCTGTCTCTCTCCAGAACCCCTTTTCTCAACTCCTACATCACGGTTCTTAATCTATTATCTTCACGCAGAAGGTCTTCACTAGGTAAGTTTTTTACCTGTGAAACTGGCGGCCCAGGTGATGTTGAGATTGAAGTTTTTGGAAGCATTGATGAACATGTCCAAGTCCCTGTTTTGCTGATGAGAGGTACAGATAATTAGGAAAGTAATTAGAACAGTTTCCAGATTTTAAAATAATGCAATAATTACATTTTATTACTTTTACCCTTCTTAATTACAAAGCAGATATTTTACGTCTTAATAGAAACTGACATTTATAGATTAGTAAAATTTCTAACCAATATAATATACTCCCAAAACATTTGATTTCTCTCCCATAAAAATACATGGAATTGAATGATTTATCAAATGCCTAACTCCATGAAAAATATATCTTTAAAAAAACAGCCTCGCCAGACAACAATGACTTACATCCTGTGACCTATGTTAGGGAAATCAGCCTCCTAAGAAACCTCTGGGCAGCCGTTTCAAACGTCTGGATATAAAATACTTGATCAAGGGTCCCACTTTAAATGTATTTATAAATTCAGTCTATGTACTTCTGAACTAATAGATTATATACAGTGTCAAGTTCTCCAAAATGGAAATGGTTTTTAAAAAAGTAAACAAAGCTGAAATAAACTAAATGAAAACATAATTTGATGGTATTCATTCATGATTTGACCATTTTTCTCTAACTAAAAATATTATTTCAAATAGAGAAAGATGACTAAATGTATTTTATTAACTTTGAAAATCTTGTTTACCACTTCGAGATATAGCAAGTTGAAAAGCTAGTTTAACTTATTTTGATATTTTGGTTTTAGTGACTGAAAAAATATCTGCGAGAATGGTGTTGTGGCAACTGGGAGAAGTATACTGTTAGCCGTGCTGGGTAAATTTTAATACTAATTTTTACTTTTTACTGACATTTGTCGAAGAATTATTTTTTGCAAATAAATCAGATTTTGTATTTTTACATTTTACAAATGGATCCAATCCTG